TTCTCCTGCTTTGGGTTAGCCTCTTCCCTCACCTGAAGAGGTTATCAGAATTACCTCTGCCCCTTTTTAGTGACCAGTTTTACAGGAGGGCCAATACAAGAACAGATGGAGGACCAAACCATTGTGGTTTTCTGAACGGCACTATGCTCGAGTTAAATATTCTCCAGCAAGCATTTCCAGTGTGCGAAAAGGGTGCAGAGGGGAGAGGTGGGGGAAAGGGGGGGAGTATCCCTAAATACCTCCCAAAATGCTTACCCTTTTCACCAGTTTAATGCTGAACTTTTATGGAGCTCTGCATGGAAGATGGGTGGGATTGAGTAAGGAAGGGCTGAATTTAGTCGCCCCAAACCGTGCAGTCTTTTGCTCTCTCGGGGACCCACAACACCCTAGGGCAGGGGTCAGGATCCCAATGCGCTTGCATAGCCTGCCAATGCTGAAGTCTGCCGAAGGCTTCCTGTGTCAGCAGCAGAGCCCTGGCATAGCATTCCTGGAGGACTGTGGGGAAATCTAAGGGGAATTTTCCCAGCTGAACCCAAGAGGGCCACTGGCATATGGAGGCGGGCGGGTATCAGGCAGGACTTTGCTGAGGACTTTTTCAAACATAGGATCAACTCTTTACATGTCCTTCTGGGTAAACATACGACTGGTGCTGACTACCTGACTTGGGTATACAGTGGTACCTCAGGTATACAGTGGTACATACGCTTCAGCTTACATATTCTTCAGGTTACACACTCCGCTAACCCAGAAATAGTGCTTCATGTTAAGAACTTTGCTTCAGGATGAGAACAGAAATCGTGCTCCGGCGGCATGGCGGCAGCGGGAGGCCTCATTATCTAAAGTGGTACTTCAGGTTAAGAACAGTTTCAGGGTAAGAACGGACCTCTGGAACGAATTAAGTACTTAACCCGAGGTACCACTGTAGTGATGGTTTGTGTGTGTGTGTTTAATGTTATACCTGAAGGAGCGTCTCCACCCCCATCATTCTGCACGGACACTGAAGTCCAGCACTGAGGGCCTTCTGGCGGTTCCCTCACTGCGAGAACTGAGGTTACAGGGAACCAGGCAGAGGGCCTTTTCGGTAGTGGCTCCCGCCCTGTGGAACACCCTCCCTGGATCAGATGTCAAGGAAATAAACAACTACCTGACTTTTAGAAGACATCTGAAGGCAGCCCTGTTTAGGGAAGTTTTTAACATTTGATGTTTTATCGTGTTTTTAATATTCTGTTGGAAGCCACCCAGAGTGGCTGGGAAACCCAGACAAATGGGTGGGTAATACAATTATTATTATTATTATTATTATTATTATTATTGCTGCTGCTGCTCATAGTCAAAAAAAGGAAAGGCATAATCAGAAAAGCGAACAGAAGAGTTGCACAGAATACACATATGCTACTATATGTAAATTTAGAAATAGTAGTTATTCATTAGTAATGTACATGTATAGATGAAGATTTAGAAATAATATCAATAATTTAAAGAGAAACACTATACAACCTCACCACACTGGAGGATAAGACTGTAAGCAGGTTTGTGCTGTAACCTAGATCTCCCCTGCTCTCCCTTCTTAGAGTTACTGTATTTATCTTTAAGCCAAACTTAAACCAGACACCCTTTTCAAAAAGAGGGCTGCTCCCCACATGGCTGCTCTAAGGGGACAGTCCACTTTTCTTTTGTGCCCACCCAAGGGCTGTACTGATAGCCCAAGTGGGAGTCCAAGGAAGAAAGACAGTTTCCTGCCATTTCCGTCTTACAAAAATGCATCCCAGTTTGGCTCGTGGAATGAAAGCCAAAGCCCGAATTTGCAAAGAGAAGCAAACGGAATTAGAGAGAGCAAGAGCAAAGCAGCCACATAAAAAGAGCCTTGGGGAAAGAGTGTGGAGGTCAAGAATTGTGCCTGCAGGTGTCTTCGGGCTAAATTCTGCCCTCAGCTGCACATGTACGATCCCATTTTCTTCATAGGATTGCATGGATGGAACGGAGGGCAGAAACTGGGTCGTTGTCTCCAAATCCACAAGGCTCCAGAGCGTTTGGAGCTGCGCTGCATTTTTCTCTCACTGCAGCACATTCTGAACTGGACAGTAAGCTGCACAAATTCAGCTCCCCTGGCACTCCACCACTCTCGCTGTACAGTCTGCAGCAAGGCTAAAGACAATTTGGGGACCACCACCACCACCCCCGCCCTGCATTTGACATGCCCCCCCGCCACACTTGAGTCACATCATCTCTCCCTTGCAGAATCAAAACCAGCTAGTTTGAGAAATGAGAAGAGTTTTGCTTTTGTCAGACCTTTTATGCTTTGAATTATGCGACTGAATCTGTCCAAATTCTCTAGCTATGGTTTTATAAACAAGGTATAAAGGTAAAGGGACCCCTGATCATTAGGCCCAGTCGTGGCCGACTCTGGGGTTGCGGTGCTCATCTTGCTTTATTGGCCGAGGGAGCCTGCGTACAGCTTCCTGGTCATGTGGCCAGCATGACTAAGCCGCTTCTGATGAATCAGAGCAGCGCATGGAAACGCCGTTTACGTTCCTGCCGGAGCGGTACCTATTTATCTACTTGCACTTTGATGTGCTTTCGAACTGCTAGGTTGGCAGGAGCAGGGTCCGAGCAACGGGAGCTCACCCCATTGTGGGGATTCGAACTGCTGACCTTCTGATCGGCAAGCCCTAGGCTCTGTGGTTTAACCCACAGCGCCACCCGCGTCCCAAACAAGGTATATGCCATTTTAAATCCAGTTTTAAGTGAAATAATGCATTCATGCAATCTTAGAATTCCCCACGTGCATAAAAGGTAAAGGTAAAGGACCCCTGACAGTTAAGTCCAGCCGCGGATGATTCGGGTTGCGGCACTCATCTCGCTTTACAGGCTGAGGGAGCCGGCGTTTGTCTACTCCGCAGGCAGTTTTTCCGGGTAATGTGGCCAGCATGACTAAGCCGCTTCTGGCGCAGTGGAATACAGACACCAGAGCAGCACATGGAAACGCCATTTACCTTCCCGCCAGAGCAGTACCTATTAATCTACTTGCACTTTTTTCTGGCGTGCTTTCGAACTGCTAGGTTGGCAGGAGCTTGGACCGAGCAACGTGAGCTCACCCCATCGCAGGGATTTGAACCACCGACCTTCTGATCGGCAAGCCCAAGAGGCTCAGTGCTTTAGACCACAGCGCCACCTGCGTCCCCTCCAGCATTTCTCAGAAGAAAATAGGGATTCCCCATTCCTTTTGGAATTTTTGGTTAGGTTGTCTCCTAATCGCATCTGTCATTTTTGCTCAAGATATTCAAATAGCTCACCCTGCTATTCCTTTTTTGTTGGTACTATTTCACTTTTCCACTTCTTAGCTATTCATATTCTAGCTGCCGTTGTGGTGTATAAAAATATGCACTTTTTTCCGTTTGGTATATCTGAGTCTAAGATCCCAACAAGAAAGCTTCTGGGTTTTTGGTTTTTTTTAATAAAGGTTTGCCTAAACATTTTCTTCAACTCCTCGTATAAAATATCCCAAAAATTCTTTTTTTTTTTTTTTGCAACCCCACCACATGTGAAACACTGTCCTTTCTGCCTGTTTACACCTCCTGCAAGTGTTAGATCTCAATTTATACATTTTGGATAATTTGCTGGGAGTTATATACCACCTATATAACCCATGCACACATTTAAGTTTGCTTGGCTAGGCTGCAATCCTGCAAATAAGCTTAGTGTTTAGGTTGGCACATTAAGATAACCTTTCTGTTGTTCCAATAATTTTAATGCTTTTTAAAAAATATATTTATATTAAAACGTGACTTCAATTTGACCACTATTTAACCAGTCACCCCCACAAAAAGACAAATTGGTCAGTTGACATGTCAAATGGCCAATCAACCCTACATCATTCTGAGCCCTTTGAGGGAAAGGTGGGAGGCAAATACGTCAAGGTAAAAATGCTATTCTTCTTAACTTTATAGCCTAGGCGGAGGCTAGCTGAGGAGTAAACTGCTCAGCCAGGGAGTAAACTGTTTAAGATGGTTTATGAAGAATGTTATATATCTTTTTTAATAGCCTCTAAAATCTTCTTTTGAAAGGTTTTTAGAAAGTGCCTCCTGCATTCCCCACAGAGCTGTCAGTTGGAAGCTGCCTCTGGGAGAGGGAAAGAAGGACTATTACTTTTTAAAAGTCTCTTTAACAACGCTGTTAAGAATTACAGCAGCGTTTTTTAAAATGCCGTTTAAATAGTGTTTCTTGGGGGGCTTACCCCATACTGTTCTCCTCGCTCACATATGCAACTGTGCCCATCTCCATTGCCCCTCCCCCCCACCTTTTTGTACCCTTCTGCAGCTGAAAACACCTGCTAAGTTGGCTGGCATTTACAACATTAAAAGCGGCTGAGGCCACCTTGGCTTGTGTAGCTAAAGGGGCTGGTTGCAGCATACCCAGTTTTATTTATTTATCCCCCACCCACCCTCCACTTTCAAGTGAGTGTTTCCATCCACTGGTGTAGAGCCAGCTTTGCTTTGCTTTGTTTCTAAAATGCCACAGTATTTTCATGGAAACACAGACCACTGGGTTCACGCCAAGCTGAAACGGTCTTGGATTTTTACATAGCATCGTTTTGTTACTGCTGGGAAATTAAGGCCTGCTAATTATGTGAGTGCTCCAGGCTAGGTGTGAAACCACATTGCATGATTTAATCATATAACCGTATTTTTCGCTCTATAAGACGCACCAGACCACAAGACTCACCTAGTTTTTGGAGGAGGAAAACAAGAAAAAAAATATTCTGAATATCAGAAGCCAGAACAACAAGAGGGATTGCTGTGCAGCGAAAGCAGCGATCCCTCTTGCTGTTCTGGCTTCTGAGATAGCTGCACAGCCTGCATTTGCTCCATAAGACGCACACATATTTCCCCTTACTTTTTAGGAGGGAAAAAGTGAGTCTTATAGAGCAAAAAATACGGTGTATATATGATTCTTCCACAGTTACAGCAGGAGTGGCAGGCTGTTGCAAGTCCAGTTTCTGCGCACCTGGGTAGCTCAGTTAGAGCATGGTGCTGATAATACCAAGGTTGCAGGTTCGGTCCCTGTATGGGACAGCTGCATATTCCTGCATTGCAGTGGGTTGGACTAAGAGCATCCTCAGGGTCCCTTCCAACGCTACAGTTCTTTTTGATTTTGGGACTTGGCTGTGTGGAGCTGTCTCTGAGGATGCTGAACAAGACACCTCTCTGGGATCAAATGCAGAGAATTCTCTCGAGGATAGTTCCAGGGGGAAGAAGGTAGAAAGGTTACATCAACCACCTCTTTGAAATCTTCACTAGGTACACAGAGTCTTCCTCTGGTGTATGATTCATAGCAGGAAGAAAGGAGACTCCGAGGGAATCAAAGCAAAATCTTGATACTAAAACATAGTGTTTGTCCTGAGTTCTGAGAATGTCATCATATCCATTGTCTTACCTCAGTTCTACAAGGTGTACCAATAATGATGATCATGATGATGATCATTTTTACCTTGCCACTCTGGGCAGCTTACAGCATATCTAGAAACATAATAAAAACGTCAAGTGTTTTAAAACCTCCCGATACAGGGCTGCCTTCAGATGACTTCTAAACATTATATACCGTATTTTTTGCTCTATAAGACTCACTTTTTCCCTCCTAAAAAGTAAGGGGAAATGTGTGTGCGTCATATGGAGTGAATGCAGGCTGCACAGCTATCCCAGTAGCCAGAACAGCAAGAGGGATTGCTGCTTTCACTGCGTAGCAATCCCTCTTGCTGTTTTGGCTTCTGAGATTCAGAATATTTTTTTCTTGTTTTCCTCCTCCAAAAACTAGGTGCGTCTTGTGGTCTGGTGTGTCTTATAGAGCGAAAAATACGGTAGTTCTTTATTGCCTTGACATCTGAAGGGAGGGTGTTCCTCAGGGAGGGCGCCACTACCGAGAAGTCCCTCTGCCTGGTTCCGGGAGCATTTTTTTACAGTGGTACCTCGGGTTAAGTACTTAACTCGTTCCGGAGGTCCGTTCTTAACCTGAAACTGTTCTTAACCTGAAGCACCACTTTAGCTAATGGGACCTCCTGCTGCTGCCACGCCGCCGGAGCACGATTTCTGTTCTCTCCCTGAAGCAAAGTTCTTAACCCGAGGTACTATTTCTGGGTTAGCAGAGTCTGTAACCTGAAGCGTATGTAACCTGAAGCGTGTGTAACCCGAGGTACCACTGTATTATATTTCTGTCCCCTGTGTCTGTGATCTTTTGCTAGCTGCCTGACTCTTCTTTGACACCAGAAGCAGCTCTGGTTGTATCTAAATTCATAAAAGCAATTTAGGCTGTGATCCCAATATCCGACTTGATAGCCAAAGAAGAAAAGCGGAGGTGCGACTGATATTGTATCCAGCCAAGTCTCTGATCGCAGGACACAGCCAGAGCAAAGCTGGCAGTTCACCCAATCATTCGGTGAAGTTACTCCCTGCCAACGTCTGGCAATCACAGGTTAGGGACACCTTGATAAACAAGAATGCATTTACAGACCAAGTAACTTAATAGACCTTCATGGGCCAATCCTTCTTTAATCTGTTTTTAACGTTCAGTCTGGTGTGCTGGCAAGAGTCCTCATTCACATATAAACGATGGCATTTTGAGGGTCAGACTGCACTTAATATTGTGCGAAATATGTGTAGCTGTAATTCACAGAGCAAAGTGACATAACATTAATTAACATCTTCCAGTTATGGGTGAATAGACTGAGTATTACAAGCGGGATATTGGTTTTTTGATACTAAAAGCAGGATGACACCCTTCCTTCCTTCCTTCCTTCCTTCCTTCCTTCCTTGGGATCAGTGTTGAAAGGACCTTCTTCTGAGCTGACTCTACTACTTTTGAAAGTGCTCAAGGTGGCATCCACAAATACTTAAGAGCCTTCCGTGTTCAGATTCCTTTTAAAATTATTTTGTTTTGAAAGTATTAGACTACATAGGATGCCACATGATCCCGGCTGTTAAGAGCAGAAAGGAAAGCCCTCTGTTAAAGTGATGGGGTCATTTGGTGAGGGTTAGGAGCAAGATCTTTTGCATTACTGTCCTAGCTTAAAGAATTCTCATTGCCACCAGTGCATTGTCCCAATAGGATTAAAGAAGAAAGACAAGTTCTTTCTGTTTCATGTTTAAACTGGTGATGGCCATTTAAAAAACAAAGGGTATGATTCTTCCCCTTCCATCCTGCTAGTGGGACATCCTGTAACTGTGCATTAGAACACCTTCCCTGCCAAGCCACCTAGGTGTTCATGGCTCGCTGTACTGCCAGGTGATTTGCCATGTGCCAAGAACTCTAGTGGGCCACTCTACAGCTAGTGGGCCACTCATTTGTAAGTCGCTGCATGGACTGCTTACAACAGGAAAATGAAGTACTTGTGAGCTGAGGACCTGGAGATGAGCAAACACTACATGCAGTAAGCAAGGCGCAGGGGGAACGTCCCTCCTTTGTGAACGGCCTGGGATCACAGTAGTGATGTGTGCAATTGTCATGCATACGATAGGACAATATGAATAGTGAATAATATAAAATAACAAAGCATCAGTAACATTAATCATAACAATTAATTTGTTAGCATAAATGCAAAGAGAGGAGCAAGGGTCATCAGCTGATCCTTGTCTTTTTGACCTTGGGAGGTTTGGAGGTTGTATTGTTCTAGCCCTGGAAAGATGTGCAATGAAAAGTGTTTGAGCACCTCCTTTGTAGCATGTGTTCTCCTCTCTCTCTCTCTCTCCCTCTCTCTCTCTCTCCCTCTTCCCCTCCCTCTTCTGCAACACTAGAAAAATGAGAAGAAGCAGGAGGTGTTTACGTCCACAATGCAGAACTGTGGCAATACACTGAATCCAAAATAGAAAACCCAAAGATAAAGGAAACGGAAGAACAAAATATGCTGTTCGACATGGGAAGGATGGGGAAAAAAATCTGTGATCAAAAAACCATCTGCATGCTAATATGAACATTTTCAAGTAGAACAAGTGTAAGGGAAGGGAAGGAGAGGGTGGAAACCTGCACTGAAAAGAAAACACAAGCTGAGAACCAAAATAATTACGAGCAGAAAAACACTGACAAGTTAGAAATGAGTAAGGAACAGATTGGACTGACGTGCTTTTCTTCACAACACTGGAAGTATATATTCAGCAGTGTGACTACTATAATTGGGACGTATACCAAATCAAGCCAAATGTTTGAACCTGCCTTTTAACAAGCAGATAAACTGTTAAAGTTCTGACAATATAATGGGGGTGTAGGGTAGCAGGGAACACATGCGTGGCTTCTTTTCCCAACCTTTTCAATTGTGTTAGACCTTTACTCTTGGATGCCAGTAGACTACTGGCACAAGGGGCTCACGAGGAGAGCAGGCTAGCTTCGTGATCTGCCATGCACTGTGTGGTCTTAGGCCTCAGACTCAATTTAAATGGGATTCAGGCATTCAAGATGCATTTACCTGTACTTGGTGTCTTGCTGAAATTGCATCCTCAAGCACTCTGCACGCTACACTTTTCAGCACATCAAGAATCATTAGCATGGACAGACATTGTACTACTGTATTTATTTCATAAAATAAATAAAAACATTTGCTTGATTATAAAAAAAGAAAAGAAAAGAAAAGAAACAAGCTCAGAGCTGTTTACAAAGATGTTAGCACTAGTGTGCTAACATGGTGCACATAGTAGCAGCTGAGGGACAAAGTTAAACGAAAAACTGGGGCTGGATCTACACTGATCTGGAAAACACTATTTTTTAATTTAAAAATCTCTCTCTCTCTCTCTCTCTCTCTCTATATATATATATCTAGCTCCCAATGCAATTTCCCATCGCCGCTCTAGAGTGCCCTCTGATGTCACATTTTTATAATGCATTTTTAATGTTATAACTCACCGGTGTAGATTAATCCTGGGTGCATGCAGACCTGTGTAGTTAAGTTATTCTTGCCCATCCAAACCATGCTTTAGGCCTCTTCAGGCATAGAAGGGAAGAGGGACTCAGTAGCTGGCAAGCATCATGACTCCTCTGGATTGGCCAGATCTCATATAAACATTAAGAGACTTGCTGTTTGCTTTTGCCTGGTCAACAGAGTAATGCCTCCAGCTTCCTATGCATTTTAATTTTTTTTTTATTTCAGCAATTTGTCTACCCCTCAATTACAGTTGCCTCTAAGGAGACCCAATGCTACAAGACGGAACATGACTTAAAACTATAAACTGGGTTAAGAAGCCCACTGGAGGTTTATATATAGTTCAACAGGGAGGGGTTCTGTGTGACTGGCAGGGACTGCATCAACTGGCAGGGAGTTCTACAAAATTGGACCTGTAGTGCTGAACACATGGTTCCTTGTGGATATGAGTCATGCAACTGAGCCAGGGGGACCACTAACAGTGACTCCCCCATCAACCTCAGTCATATAAGGGTGGTCCCTGATGTATAATGGACCCAAGTTGCTAAGGGACTTGTAAATTAATTCAAGAACCTTGGATCTGGCCGAATAGTGCATGAGCAGCCTGTGAAAGTTTTTGAGCACCTGAAACATGTCCCTGTCCCCATCAATAGTCTAACCACAGTGCTTAGCACGAGCTGAATTTCTGGAAGCTCCACATCAAGCACATGGCAATAATCAAGACTTGAGGTTACCAATGCAGGAATCACCTTGGCCAGACTATCCTTGTTGAAGAACAGCTGTAGTTGGGTGTACCAGTTGTAGCTAGTAAAAAGGCACTCCTAGCCACTGAGGCTACCTGAGCAACAAAGATGGATCCAGCATAAGCCACATACTCTGAGCTGTTCTTTCAGAAGGAATGCAACTCCATCCAGAACACAGGCAACTGGCCTTTCTCCCAGGCACGGTAACCACCAATCCAAAGTACCTTTTTTCCTTTTCTAAATGTGCAAGCGCAGCTTATTAGCCCTCATCCACACCATCTGTGCACCCCGGCAGCGGTTCATATCATGCACAGCCTCAGTGCTGGATTTACGTATAAGCTAAACAAGCTATAGCTTGGAGCCCCACCCCAAAAAAATAAAAGAAAAAAACTGAATGTGCATTTCCAAAATATAAGATAAAAACTAATAAAATAAA